GTCCAAGGTACCAGGAAAAGAAAGACAAGATGTCCAGCTATTTGTACTAAGAGAATGCATGTGCTGCCTTTATTGCCAGGAAAGAGAGAGAGAGAGAGAGAGAGAGAGAGAGAGAGAGAGAGAGAGAGAGAGAGAGTCTTTATTGCAAGTGCTAAGAGGTCTCTCTCTTGTAGAAGGAAGCAGCTTTATATACAGGCTTACAGCACAGTGAAAAACCCCAGGAGGTGGAGAGTATGTTTTCCTCCTGCTAGATGTTGATGTCAGAGGGTCAAGGCCGGGGCAGGAAGCCAGGACTAGAAAACAGGAAGCACTTGGACTGGAAAACAGGAAGCACTTGGACTAGAAAACAGGAAGCACTTGGACTAGAAAACAGGAAGCACTTGGACTAGAAAACAGGAAGCACTTGGACTGGAAAACAAGTTGCACTTGTAGGCTGACTAGCAACTCACAGAGACCCCATGGGGCTGGGGCCCAACAGTCTGGTTGTTGGTTGGTTATAGATTATTGTTCTACTATAAGGACAGACGGAATTGCCATCGGCCTGTCCACTCTGTTCAGCCTTTGTCGGGAGTTGTGATGTTTGGCACATGTAGATGCATGGTGGCTATTCTTTCATAGTGAATTGAAACACGCCAACCCTCACATACTGTTTACACTTTGTAAAGTCAAACACAGTAATTCTTTGGATGATTTCTGGGGATAGCCTTATTCAGAAAGGTTGTGTCTACTTGGCATCTCTCTATATTTTTATTTTCTGCATTTCAGTGTCTGCCTTGAAGGTTAGTCCTTAGGGTCCAAACTGTGGCTCTGCTTGGAGTTGCTGCTTTGTCAACCCTTTTAACCTTCTTCTTGTTTGGGTCCCTGGCCTTACCCTGGCCTTGCCAGTGTCTTCTTCAACTGTCTCTGTCTGAGGCATGTCTAAAGACTCCATTTCATGTCCCCGCTCACCTCCAAAGGGGTCTTTCTGCCATGGCTGGCTTTCATGTCTGTTACACTGGAAACGTTGCTCTGATGAGAGGTGAGGTACATGCAGTGGAGACAGGCCAGGGAATCAGGGAGGCACCAAAGTTCAAGGATGGGGTCATGAACCCAGACAAGAAAAAGGGAGGAGGTGGGCAGAGGGGCAGCCAGGTTATCTGAAGAGTTAATAAACACACTTCTCTCCCTTCTCTGGAGTTCCCAGCAGGAGATCAAAGGATTTCTGGGGCAGGAGGATGGGCTCAGAAAGCAGAGGAGTGAGGATCTGGGACTGCTGCAAGGGAATCTGGGAAATGTGCTTTGATCATCCAGAATTGATAGTTGGTTGGGTTATGGGTCATTCCATTCCAGTCAAGGTGTGGGCATGTGAGTAGACTTGGATTCCAAAGGTATTGGTTCGGAGATGGGCACCCTCAGTGGCTCCAGACCTTTGGCCAACAGAGACCGGGGAGCAGGAGGCCCAAGGTCAGCCTAGATCTGGGAGGGTGGCATGTTGGAGCAGGCAACCAGGCCAGAATGCCCAGCATCATCTCTGGGCCCACTGTGTGCTGAAAGCTCAGAGGAAAGCTATTTTCCTTCTCTGGCTCCATCACAACACTGGGTGCTTCAGGGTCTCCTGTGTACAAGGTGTGCTGAGCTAGGTGGGGGGGGGGGCTGGCCATGCCCACCCTGTGGGCTCAGGAGGAGACTGGTGAAGACTTACTTATCAGGATTCCAGGGGCCAGCGGGAGACAAGAGGTACAGTGCCAACTGTCCCTCAAGCTGTTGCTCTGGGGACTCATGGATTGAGTAGGAAAAGGAGCATTCTGTCCCTATGTGGCCGGGGCACTCTTGGTGGAAGAGAACCCAGGACAGTGTGTGAGCTTGGCCATGTGCTGCTGTGACCCACGGCCTGCCTATTCTCTAGGTTCAGTCCAGTGGGAGCCGCCACTTCCGTTTAGTTCTTTCTGACATCAGAGAAGGGAGGGAGTTCTGTGGCTGCCTCAGCCCACATCAGGGAGCAGCTGAAAGTAGGGCAATAAGTTCCTAAGCATCGGGGCCTGTGGCTGTGCATGAGCCAAGGTGTCTTCAGTGCCACCTGTCTCCAGGCAGGGTGTGAGCTTCCACTCCTGCTGGGAAGTCTCACAGCAGGACCTGGCCTTCTGCTATGCACTGCTTGTTTGGGAATAGAGAGATAGGTCAAGTGCCTAATGCCACAGATGGGGACCTTGGTGGGGCTGAGAAAAGCTGATGGTGTCCATCCATCCTAGGGAGGGGGAGCTTTGCCTTGAGAATGGGGAGAATAAAGTTCCTTTATCCTCACATGTGCATCTACCCATGCTGTACCCTTCCCAGACAGATACACACATTCTGACACAGATATAGGTATGCATAAAGACTGACAATGACAGGAACACCACCCCCACACACACACACCATCACACAGCACATACAGACATGCCTAAGGGAACACATATGCACACACACACTGATGTGGAACCCTCCCTCATTGGAGGTCACACAAGCATAACAGAACATACACCTGACTATTTCTTCAGAGTCCTAGTTCTGGCATGGAATGGAAAGCTGTTCAAATAGTGTAGGCTGTCAAATAGTGTACTCATGTCGAGGTAATTGGCTCCAAGTGACAGCTGCAAGGCTCAGGGAAAATGTAGTCCAAGCTTAGGGTGGAAGTGTTACAGCATGAGATGTTTTTAAACAATGCCCAGGGTTAGTGAACAAGTGTCAAACATTAGCCCATCACAAACCCCCAGTAAAACCAGCTTCTCCTTGTGTCTGGGTGAGCAGCCCTGTCACCACTGGGGAGTGACAGCTCCATTCAACTCCAGCTGAAGGAACCTTGCTTGTCATGTTGGAGGCATGTAGCAAGGCTTGATAACATAGTAACATCTTACTTCTCCTGTATCTTCCACAGTCATCAAAGGTGTAGTAATGACCTCACTTCCTTAAGTCCCTTCCACCACCACCTGGACACTCTGGTCTTTAGCTGGACAGGTTGGGGAGATTCTCATAATGTTGTGCTCTGTTGTGAGCTAGTGAAATCGGGGTAGGGAGAGTTCTAGCAAAGTGGTTGTTTCTCCACTGGGCAGCCCAGTGTGATCTTAGAAAAATGTTCCTCAAGGTTCAAGAAGAAATTTTATTTTGTGTGGGTACAGACTAGCTCTGAGTGGTAGGGGTGAGGTTGGTGGGTGGGTAGGGGGTGGTAAACTTTCTGGGAATGAGAATTCCTGGTAGTATCTTTGTCATGAAGGGACAAGCATCTCCCTTGCCCTGCTTTGGTTTGCCACTGTCTGGGGGGCCAGCCTCCAACAGCACAGGGCTTTGTCGGGAATCCAGGGAGTCAGTAAGGCTAGACTTTTCTATCCGAGGGGGTTGGGGGAAAAGGCGATTACAAGCACTCTTGATGTTTCCTTCAGACAGCTCTACTTTAAATCTTTTGGTACATATCCATTTATTAATAGTTTTTTTATACCAGGAGATTGAGGCCAGAAATGACTTAGCAAGGAGAGTACATCTGCCAGTAATAGCTGGGTTGCTTTGTTCTTATTCTCTGGCCTTGAAGAGTTCCGCATTCAACTATGTGCCTTTCTAAAACTTTTCTAAACTTTCTAAAACTTAAAGAGTACCGCATTCAACTGTGTGCCTTTCTAAAACTTTTCTAAACTTTCTAAAACTTAAAGAGTACCGCATTCAACTGTGTGCCTTTCTAAAACTTTTCTAAACTTTCTAAAACTTAAAGAGTACCGCATTCAACTATGTGCCTTTCTAAAACTTTTCTAAACTTTCTAAAACTTAAAGAGTACCGCATTCAACTATGTGCCTTTCTAAAACTTTAGATTGTCTTCTTGGATGTTTCATCTCAAAATTGTTTAGCAAAAACATCTTAGTCTAACTTTATTATTGTTAAAACTTTGTTTCAGCTGTGATGCACTCCTGAGACTTGTGAATACATCTCCCAACATTAGGATTAACAGAATCTAAATTAGCTAGGCCACTGGGACTCAATTATTAATCCTTAACTTGAACTACAATCCATGCAGCTCATTGGGTGAAGCTCACAGACCCTGGCTGTAAAACATATCCTGGTATTTATTTTTATTCATTAAAACTCTTTTATGCTATCAATATTGTTATCAAATTAGACAGTACAGCATAAGGGGGGATCATCTTCTTGACAATCCACAGGTAAAAATGCCCAGTAAACCAGAATGTTTCTAAGAGATAAGCACACTGTATTACAGGCAGTGAAGATCTGCCCATGTCCCCTCATACCATGTTAGATGCCAGAGAAAGAGAGCACAGCAGACACAAAAGACATTCCAGGGTCTGCAATAGTGTGGCTTTGCCTAAACAAGACTGACCCATCAGAGGATTCCCTCCTGGTGGACTGACACCCAGAACTTCAACTCGCTGCTCCTCCAGCATGGCCAATGGGACCTTGTCTCTCGTCAGATTTGTGAAGTGCTACAACAGGCATTTAGGGAATGTTCCCCAGCACCTCTATGAGAAGGTCTGGCTCTTAAAGAAAACTCCTGATGGGAAGGACACTGTCCCTCACAATGGCACATGGGCTACTGGGATGGAAAAAAGCTATAACATATACTAAGGCTCAGAGTTTGATGGCTTCTCAGAGGTCACATAGTATGCATGTGTCAGTCTCAACTAGAATCCAGGTCCTGACACTCTGTAGTTCAGTGTCACTGCCGTCATGAGGATAGTTTTATCTTTGGTGGAGTTTGGGAAGGTTGGAGGTACTCATAGATCATTTATGAAAAGTGTCACCTTTAAAGAAATGCTTGGTGTGTGTTAATTACTGAGTCCTGTGAAATCACACGACTATGACACTTTGATGTAAAATATCAATCTTATGATTCAAGCCAATGCTTTCTGTCTACATTTATTCAGGAATGGAGGGGTGTCTCTAGATGAGCTTGGAATGGGTAGCACTCCCATAACAAAGCAGTGTTCTGGGCAGTAGCTGCATTCTCTGGGATGGGGCTGCTGGATGCTGCAGGCGGGCTGCCTGGCCCCATGACAGGGTGAATCCTGAGGTCCACTCCGAATGTACAGTTGCCCTTGGAATACTACAGTGATAGTCTGAAGACGGGGTAGGGGAAGGTACATATGACTTCAGGAAGATCTCAGGGGGACCATGGGAAAGGATAGGTGTTCTTCTCCTGTAGTGACATGTCCTTGTTATGACCATTTAGAGCCATCTGTACAGCATGGTTTCATGGTCAGCAAGGATGAGGGAAACAAAGTAAGTGGCTTTGGGCTCACAGGCCTGACTGACTTGAGAAGACAGAAGCCAAGATCCAGGGAGACCTACCTTTTCATTGGGGGACTTGTGAGACACCTCTGGCAGGAAAGATATGACAGGGACAAAGGCTGGGGTCCTGCTCCATCTCCTCTAGCCATTCTCAGGAAATCACCGGTAAGATAGAGAGGATAGGGCCCAGGAAGTTGACACAATGCAACCATAAGGGGATATGACCCTCTCCCTTCAGTGCTGGAGATGGATGCAGGAGACATGGAGATGAGCTGTGACCTTGAGTCTCCACACACCTCAAGGAACAGTAGAAAAGTTAGCTGGACACTCAGGTGTAGGTAAAAGAATCTCATGTTTAATGTCATCAGGGAAGGATATACAGCTCTCAGGAGAGGGGCTGATTCCCAAGAGCAGTTACTTTCTGGGATTTGCTACCCTGCCTAAAAAGATGGGGACATTGTTTGTTGGGTCCTGGATGAAGATTATGAAGGGCCTATTTACTCTAACAAGAGGAACATCAGACCATTGTTTGCTTTTGAAGCATGAATCTGTAGTGAGTCTTGTGCCCTTTCCCTCGAGTGTCAGCGTGGCCTTACTCACCACCTGTAGGAAGGGAAGCAGAGGCATGTCAGAAGGGGGCAGCAGTCACTATGTCCTAGAGCAGGATCTCATGGGAAACTCACAAAGGAAGACCCTCCCATGGCTGTGTCCACCCTTTATGATACTGCCCTGCCCTCAGCCATGGCAGTCACCTTCCCCTCTATCTCCAGTCTTTCCCTGCTTTGGACCACTCAGTTCCATGTTCTCTTCCTGACTCCATCTCCCATGGCCTTGGATACAGCTCATAGCTTCTCAGTGGGAGGACATTTGGATTTCATGTCCTTTCCAATGTGTAGCTGTCAGCCCTACGGAGACTGGGTTTCTGAAGATGACCTTAAGTGTCCAGACTCCAAGGGTATCCTGTCCATTCTGAATGCCTTTCATTTCCCTGAACCAGTGGATTCTTTGGAAAAATCATTAATACTGGCTTTGTAGTTGGCTAGTAGCTCTAAATGCTACAAGTGGAAAATTCTAGGACAATGTCCCAGGCAAAAGGTGAGACTGAGATTCAGGAAGGCCATTCAGGGAAGGTACTTACATTATCAGCAGCACACAAAATCTCCCTGTTGCAGCTTTGACCTCCGACCCCATCCTCCAGATAAACTCCAAAGGTCCTCTGGAGGAGCTCAGCCTTACCTTTGCCTTCTCCTTATCTTCACACCTGAGCTGCACCTCTACCCATTGGACTCAAACAATCTCTGGAACCGCACTGCGAGGTCACCTCACCTTGAAGGACTTCTGAGGTGTGTGTTGCATGATCACTGAACTGTTGGCTTCCTTGTTGAAATCAGGGGTGATTCCTAGTAGGTCCATCATTGACTCCACACTGTGGGTCTCAGACAGTGACAATATGGGTATGTGTACCTTGACCGCCCTAGCAGGGAGGAGAGGAAGCTTTTCTTTAGTATGCGAGGGACACTTTGTCCTTGGAGCCTCTGAAATGCCACCTCCTCTGAGAAGCCCTCCAGGCAGACTCAGGGTGTTCACATGGAGCCTTGTCTCACTGTGTCCTGAAGTGTTTGGTTGCCCCCTCTTACTCATCCAGGGTTACCCTGCCCCTAAGACATGACTCCCAGGAGAGTGGCAGTCGGTGTAGGTGAGTGCAACAGCTCTCTGGGGAGTGCAATGACACCGCTCCTCTCTCCACCATGCTGAAGGTTCAGTGCTCATTTTGGGTCTTGGGATCTCAACAGCTCCATTCCCAGCCCCAGCTGGTTTCTCTGCCCTCTGTTGCAGGTTCTGGGCATCAGAAAGTGCTGCTCCAGGCATCGGATTAAGACCTTTGCCTACAGTTCGCCTCAGGTCTGTCAGAGTGTCCATGTGTCTCACATAACAGGCAGCAGGGTGTGGGCTAGCTTACACAGCACCAGCTCACTAATTTGTAGGGCCTGATAAGCTCCACTGAAGAGGGACAGAGGAATGGAGTCTCTTGCAGTTGTGCCCTGGGTGTTCTTTTCTGTCTGAGATTTTTCTCACAGGTTCTTCTCCTACCCTCCAAACACCCCCTGGGTTCCCCACCTTGACCTCTAACCCCTAAGGAGGCTAGGGCCAAAGAGCCATCTCCCTATTCTTGGTTCAGCCATAATATACACTGCAGCTATGGCCCCTGCCCTGTGCTCTGCCTATTGAGGCTGCAGTGTGTCCATACCCGGGTATGATTTCCCCTGAGGACATGCTCACCTCTTCATTTCGAGCATAGTTTCCATCAACAAGCCTGGCCTATGGTATAGGAATGAACACTTGTCTGTCTAGAAGCTCAAAGTGGCTGTGGGCCCAGCTTCTGAACAGTCTTCGAGGGCCTTTGTCACATAATGATCAGAGGTTGACTGGTTCTGGGTGGTTCCTGGGACTGGGGACTCACCTTAGGCTAAATTGTTGCACCATCCGGCGAAAGTGTGGGTAGGTCAGTCTCTGCTCTACCTCGTGCAACTTCATATCATCAGGTATGATGAAGTAGGCTACGGCACTGCCTTGGTTGTTGCTCTGAATCAGCACCGTGCTAGACAGATCACTGACTTGGAACAGATGATACACACCCACGTTATTGACCATCGGTAATTTCATGCCCCACCTGTGTCCTGTGTAGAAATACTCCATCTTGATGAACTGACAATCAAAGTCGTTGATAATTTTGCCTGCAGACGATGAAGAGGGGGTGTCAGCTAGGGTGGATCTAGGTCTGTGAGAATGTATCAGAAGATAGGAGCCAGGACTCTTCTTTTGGAGCCCTGGTTTTATCAGCTAAAAACAGAATAAGAATGGAGATGATATGGTACCAGGGCTTTATGAGGGTCGTTTGAACTTGGGGAGGGATGTAGAATTGGGGTATATTCTATCAGGTTCCAAAGGTAAAATGTCTTTGAAAAAAATTTAGTATTATGTTTATTTAATGGTTCCCTGGGGATACTAAATCATAATGAATAAAGGTGGTCAGTGGCCCCTAAGTCACACCTGCACATCCTGAAGGCTTTTTGTCCTTTTCAGGCAATGGTTTAATCTATTTTCAAGGCAAACCTTTCTGGTACCTTGAGTCCTTTCCTGAGCCCCTAGATGCAGTACAAATACCTGGGTAACTTTCCCAGGGCTGTACAAAAAACATGAACATCATGGTCATCAGAATAGGTAAGGGCCTCAGGGACCTGTATTCACAGTCATGAATGAGTAGGACCCTCAGAGACCCTGACCTCACATTCTCATTGGAGGGGTGACGGGTCCAGGAAGGGAGTGAAGCTATGGCCTGGGTGCTGTGCTCTGCAGGTCTTTGTAAAGGGGAAAAGGAGCTCAGGAGACGAGGAGCAGGCCTTAGCCTCAACCCCTAGCCCTTCCCCAAGCTGTATATCCCCTTGGTGCACGGATGTTACCCCCAGGGTCCTGACCTAACCATTTCCAGGCAGGAGGTCATGCTTGGGGTCAAGGTTAGTTAATCAGGTGCATGTGCTCCACACAAGTCCATTCATTGTGTCACCTCACTAATTCACAGCATTGGGCTAGCTTTGTCCATGGTAAGCAGATAAAATGGCTTGTCCAACAGACAGGTAATAGATGATGGAGGCCACACTGGAAGCCAGTGTTTTCAGGCTCCAAAGATGAGTCTACAACTCTTACAGTGTCTCAGTGTATTTCTCCATGGAAACTGCCCTATGTGTACCTTGTTGTACTTTCTTTTGGAAAACACTATATATTCTCCTGTTTCACTCACATAGATTTCAAAAGAACATTTGTACACAGAGTGATCTTTCAAGGTCAGCTAAAGGGGTTGCTCTAAGCCTCCATCCTCCAGTCTCATTGGTTGTTGAAAATTGTTACACTGATTATTGGTGAAAGACTAAAGAAGACACATCTAGGCATTTTGCCCTCCTCTACTTTGGGGTGCCAAGGAGATGGAACATTGGAATATGAGCATCTATTTGGATAAGTCTCCTGGAGCCAGCTCAGCTTAGTAACGTCACCCTTACCATTCCAGACAATGTAGTTCATCAGGGCAAGGAATGTGTCATTCTTCAGCTCCTTGACCATCTCTACGATTTCCTTGTTGGTTTTCTTCATCATGTAATTGTTGATCTGTGTCTTGGCCCTACTGCTGTCTCTGAAGTTGATGGAGATGACGTCAGAGAAGTACAAGTCCTTGATTGTCTCCACAGATTTGTCCACCAGGTTCAGACCCTGGGGAACGAACATGCTGCTACCACTTTTCAGTGGGGATACACTTGTGGGCTGGTTGACAGTGTGGAGTAGATACTGGAAACACTTGTGGATCTCAGCTTCAGGCAAGCCCGTTTTGTTGAGCTTTAGGGCCTCCAGGATGTGTTGGCTAACATTACCTTGGGCTCCTAGGGAAAGCATTAAAATCGAAGCAACAACTCTAATAGGGGAGAATAAAATACTTTCGTATCTTGACTGCTGGGCCATCTCTTTGTACAAAGAGAAGGAGACATTGCTGATGGTGAGAGCTACCTTCCGGCAGTGAAAACGATTAATGTCCATGTTATTGTAGAGTTCTTCATATGTAGCTTGGGTTCTGGGAAACAGGTAGCATAGGCCTGCTAGCAAGAGGAGTCCATGGGAGAAAAAGGGTGTCATCATCTGCAATACAGAGAAAGGGAGACACAACCCTGAGTTGTGTCAACTTCCACTAAGCAGTGATTGACACATGTGAAAACAACCACCATTTCTTACACCTGTGCTATACTCACAGTCTGGATGAGGCACTTTTTACAGCCTCACCATTGAAAGAGTTAGTGACGATTAATACTCAGGGCAGGGCAGACCTGCATGGTCTGCACTTCTCTGATACATAAGGGCACTTTGCCTTCTTGTCTTAGTCCCGCAGGGGAGCTAATGGAGGAGAAAAGTCCTCTTTTTCTTCATGAGGACATAATATCCCAGAGAGCTTAAGGAATATGTTCAAGACCATGAGCAGCGGCTATGGCAGAACCAGGTCCCATGGCAGGCTGTCTGGAGCCCACTCTGCTCCCATCTACAATGACTCAATGCAAGAGAGACTGTCCTGTTTAACAAATCTCCATGCCACTAGAATCTGTGTGACCTGTGATACAGGTCAATTTCTGAGCCTCATTTTAAAAACAGAAATATGAAAGGTATTATTAGCATAAATGCAGACATGGATACTTATACCTGGATATGATCTTGGGGGCAGTTTGTAGGTTTGGCAAACTCTAGCCTTTTGGACTAGCCCTCGGTCATCAGCTTGGAATCAGGAGTGAGAACCCAAATAAGAAAGGGGAAAGGAAGGGTTGGAAGGACAGCAGCTCATCTGAGGAGTTAATGAACATATTTTCCCTTGGAGATTAGAAGTTCTTCCCAGGTGACCAAGGGAGAGAAGAGGCCTAGGTCACTGGGCAGGAGAGAAGATGCCTAAGACCTTGGGCTGCCACAGGGAGCCTTGGGAAACACACTTTTAAGGGTAGCAGTTAACAAAACAAAAAATAAAGCCCATTTTCCATCCTAAGAGAGTTGTGTGTGGAATCAGTCCTTGACTCCACAAGTAGAGAGAGGTCAAAGTCTGTGGCTTCCAGTAGAGGGTCATGGGATTGGGTGTGGAAGGACTCCCAAGCTGAGAATATTAGGTGTGAGAATGGGGGTATAGGACTGCCTGAGGTGTTTCCTCAATAGCCCCTCCTCAACCCCGCCGGCCAAACAGGTGGAGAGACAGACAGAAGTAAGCAACCCAGAGTCAGCAACCCAGGCCTAGAGGGGCAGGCCAGCAGGGCAGGGGGTACACTGTATTCTGGGAGCACAGAAGGAGGCCTTTGCTCTCCTCTGGACCTGCCCATAGGAGTTGAATCCTCTGTGTGGAGGAGGTATGGAGGCAGGTGGCCAGGGTGGCCGTTCCCACCCCATGGGTTCGGAAGAAGGCTATTTACAGACTTACTGAGCGGAGTCGGCACAGGCAGTGAGAAGCTCGTGGGCTGGGCCCGCAGTACTGACTGCCCCTTAAGCTCTCGCCTGGGGACTTATAGGCACAGCAGAGTGTGGGAGACACTCAGTCCCTAAGTGTGCAATGACATTCCACGAGGGAGGAGAGCCTGGGGCATCTTAAAATCTCAACTAGGAGCTGGTGTACCATGGGCTGTTGTGGTCCAGGGGCCTGGATGTCTTTCCCTGAACTGACCTAGTGAAGCAGAACTGGCCAGTATAACCATCTAGAAGGAAGACAGAGGGAGCCCTGTGGCCATTGCAGCCTGCCTCGGGGAGTTGCTGAGAGGAGACCATGGGTCCACACATACGCCTAGCCTCGGTGTCTTCAATAATTGTCACCCACCTAATGTCAGTGAGTGTATTTCCACTCTGCGTCTGAGAAGCCTCACTTGGCTACTAGGACCTGCGCTTCACTGCACTCACACCCTGTTGTTTTGGGACAGAGTGGGGATAATGGTCCTGTGCCTTAGAATAGGGTCTTTGTTGTAGCTGAGAGACAATTGATAGAGTTCACTCCAAGGAGGAGTGGCTTTGCCTTGAGGAGAAGGAGAAGAGAACCCTTCAACCCTCAAATGTGCAACTGTAACCAGTGTAACTCCCCTCACAGATGCACACCTTAAAAAACACATGCAAGGCCACAGACCCAGATGTAAAGCACACACACAAACAGCATAGTAAGAAAACGCTTCCTTCAGGAGGCAGAGGCAAGCAGATCTCTGTGAGTTCAAGGCCAACCTGGTCTACAAAGTGAGTTCCAGGACAGCCAAGGCTACACACAGAAAACCTGTCTCAAAAAACAAGAAAGAAAGAAAGAAAGAAAGAAAGAAAGAAAGAAAGAAAGAAAGAAAGGAAAGGAGGAAGGAAGAAAGAGAGAGACAGAAAGAGGGAGTGAGGGAGGGAAAGAAGGAAGGAAGAGAGGAAGGGAGGAAGGAAGGAAATGTATCCTACCCCTCTAAGCTGGCAGGCCTGAAGGGTCTTGAAGTTGCAGAGGCTGTCATCTGGTGACATTATGCTCTACACTCACGCAGAGATGACATGGTTTCTCTGCCTTTTAAAATGAATGGATAGGGCCAGGCAGTGGTGGCATACGCCTTTAATCCCAGCTCTTGGGAGGCAGAGGCAGGTGGGTCTCTGTGAGTTTGAGGCCAGCCTGGTCTACAGAGTTAGATCTAGGACAGCTAGTGCTGTTACACAGAGAAACGTGGTCTCGAAAACCAAACCAAACAAACAAATAAATAAAATGAGTGGATAATATTCTGTTTCATGGTTGCCTGCCCTTTTGCTTGCTCACCCATCCAGTCATTGATTCATTGATGGACACATTGCTCCGGGGCAGGCATACTTTAACGTGACTGTATCGTGCTGTCCTGAACATGAGTGTAGAGATACCTTTCCAGGTCCTTTCATTTCTTTTGGGATAAAGGGGAGATGACATTGCTGGGGCATGTGGCGTGTGGTTGATTTTGGGGAGCAGCTTTGAAAGGCTTCGGGAATCCGTGTGGTGTAGCTCTTGGTGTGTCCCTGAGTGCTTTCTAGAGATGGTTAGCTCTGACTTAATCTGTGGCCTAACCTGTGGGTGGAGTCACATGATGCCATTTTGGGGGAAGTGATGAACGCAAAGAAGAGCGACCTCGCTGGAGGAAGTAGTCACTGGGTGCGTGCCCTTAAGGCTGTCTTTTGCCCTGGTTTCTTCCTGTCATCCCTCTCTCCTCTCTTTCTACCCGACATGACGTGTAGAATACCCTTTGTAGCCACAGTGTTGTGTCCAAGTAGAGAGGCAATCAACCACAGAGGAAGTGTTCCGTGAGACCATGATGCAGGATGAATTTTGGTTTATTTTAGTTGCTATAGTCAGGTATTTGGTTGCTATGCTGTAAGAGTAATTGAAACAGAAAATCAGCTCTAGAGAAGTGGCATTATTGCTGTGGCAGAAGATGAATGTGTGGGGAACCAGTCAGGGGGGTGGGTGGGAGATATTTGGAAATGATTCCAGATGTGGGCCAGAGAAATACCAGGGTAGTATGAGAAAGGACTCAACGCACATGCTGGAGTAGCCTCCTGCAAGTTGTGTAAAGAATTTCAGTCACACTGCCTTCCTGATGGCTCACCATGATGCTAAAGTCAGGCTTTTCAGAGATGCAGCTTCCTGAAAGTCACCTGCGTGCCTGTAAAAAACATGCACCCATGCTCCCATGCTCCCATAAATAAATAGCCACACACCCATGCTCCCATAAATAACCATGCACCCATGCTCCTGTAAATAAATAACCACACACCCATGCTCCTGTAAATAACCATGCACCCATGCTTTTTATTTTTTGAGACAAATTCTCTGTAGACTGGGCTGGCCTTATCTTAGAGATCTGCCTGCCCCTGCCACCTGAGTGCTGGGATTAAAGACATGTTTGTTTCTCTAATCCCCACTGATGTGGACTATCCTGTTCCCTGTGGAGAGGAATAGTGTATCTTCCTTGAGGAGATATCCAAGGCTTAATGGGTTTGTTTGGTTTCTGGTTTGAGACTTAGAAGGTGTGTGTGTGTGTGTGTGTGTGTGTGTGTGTGTGTGTGTGTGTGTGTAAAGATGTGTTCTATTTCACAATTGCATTTTTCAGATATTATTCCCTTACCAGATGCATGCTCTGGAGCAATTCCTCACATTCTGTGTGTTTTCCTTTCGCTCTGCTGATACTTTCTTCTCACATGCAGACGTCAAATGTTTTTCAAGAAGTCCAATTTCCCTTTGGCTGCCTGTGCCTTTGAAAGGCTCTTGCCTAAGTAATGACTACACAATTTGAATTATCCCCTTCCCTACCCTGGACGATCCGGGATGCGGTTACATAGGTCTGCTTCCTTTTGGGAATTAAGAGTGTTTTTTCTGATGCTGTTGAAATGGCATAGGGTGAGCTCTAGCAGATTAGCTGCCCCTTCTGCTCAGCTTGTGGACACATCCTGGACTTGGGTGGTGGACCTCATGAGTCAGGAGGAATTTTATTATACCTGAGTCCAAGCCTCTCCTCTGAGGCTGGGATGGGTAGTTCCACAGGACAGGAGTGTTCCAGAGGATCTGGGCTGTAGGTAAATTCTGCTGAGCTCTTGGACTGTCTAGCTCCAGCCGCACTTCCCCGGAGCCTTGGAATTTGGGACAGGGCTGCTTGAGTCTTATCAAAAATGCTGTGGTTGTCCCCAGAATGCCATTGAGACAATCACAGTGAGAAAAAGCAGGGCCACAGGCCCCGTTAGGCACCTGAGCACAATGAAATGTGAGGTGTTCCTATGGCAGAACCCCAGGATGAGAGGGCTGAATGACTCATGGTGATGACTGTGAACTCTGGAGAGTTAGGGGAGGTGATGATCCCCATCCATGCATCTGTACTAAACGCTACTCTTCTGATATACTGAGACAGGCGGTATTTTCATGTTCTATTAAACCTTATTAAATATGATTCAGTTTGTGTTGATAAGGTCTCATATATCCCAAGCTGGCCTTGAACCTAGAATTCTCTGTGTAGCCTGAAGATGACTTTGAGCTTGTCACCTTCCTGTCATCGTTTCCCAAGTGCTGTAGCTAGAGACATGCATCCCCATGCCTAGCCTGTGTGGTTCTAGGGATTGGAACCTAGCATATGTAAGGCAAACACTCTACACTAGCTTTGACATTGCTTTCCAGTAGACCCTAAGCTGCCAGATCCCAAGACTGATTAATGCTGGCTTATAATGGATGACAGTGGATCTTCAGGGATTCCTCTCGCCCTCTCTAAAAGATTTCTATACACACTTCTAACCTTGGAGTATCCTGCAGTATTAGAAAACCATCCCAGGAACAGTACAGTAAAAACAGCAGTATAAGAGTTTGAATCAAACCCAGAGTGGGTAAAAGAAGGAACTCCCAAGGGCTGTAAGGTTTCTAATAGACAATGCCATTGCCAGGGGTAAGCAAACTCCCTATGATATACTGTCCAGAGTGACATCCAAGGCCTCACACAATGCAGGTCCTGGTCACTGCTGTTTGTCGTCTGCTGGAGACACTGGAGAGACTGGTTTCAGGAACAGAGAAACAGGGCTGTAAACTCGCTCCCTAGCTGCTGCTCTTTTTAAGGCCAGAAAGCGCCCTGCATGTTGTTGGTTGAGCAAGAACCACACTGCCAGTGGTCTTGCTGCGATTTACCAGGCAAAATGTGCCTCTTGCTGTATAGTGGTGTGAATGAGAATGGCCCCCACAGGCTCATACATCTGAGTGTTTGGTTCCCAGTTGGTGGACCATTGAGGAAGGACTAGGAGGAGTGGTCTTGTTGGAGGAGATATGTCACTGGGGGATGGGCTTTGAGTTTCACTCCCTGCCTCCTGTTTGTGGGTGGATGTAAACTCTTAGTGCCTACTCTAGCACCACTGCCACGGCAATCATAGACTAACCTGAAAGTGCAAGTAAGTAAGCCCCCAATTAAATGCGGTCTCTTATAAGTTGCCTTGGCCATGGTGTTTCTTTGCAGTGATAGATAGAACAGTAACTAAGAAATGGTAGACCCTCGTGGGTGGAGCCAACTATTTTCTGACTGGATGTGAGGTATGCTCCGGAGGAAGGAACTCTTATTTAGTACTATAGACCTGAACAAAAGCCCACTGCTCAAGAGGTCAGAGGACCCAGTGGGGGTTTGCTGGTGGGGAGAGTGGAACTGGTGCTCGAGTGTGACTATTGTGTTTTGGGATCCTTTATTTTGCCCATGAGAAAAGGAAGGTTGAAGGTTATATCTTTGAGGATGACTAGGAAGGACCTGTTGAACTCCACAGAGGGGCCATCAGCATATGTGAAATGTCTATCAGTTTGTCTTCAAAACACGTTTTTTATTCCCATAGATGACTGTTGCTTGTAGACTGAGTTTTCCTGTGCTAGCAGTGGTCCCAAAAAGCGAACATGGAGACTTAATGTTATGTACAAATGCTCAGCCGACAGCTCAGGCTTGTTACTAGCTGAGTCTTACACTTAAATAACCCGTATTTTTCATCTATGCTTTGCCACACGGCTTGGTGACTTCTCTTAGCACGGCATGCCCATCTCAGATTCTCCCTGTGTCTGCTGGTGACTTCTCTGGCGCCCACTACTCTGCCCCCTTTTCCTCCCAGCATCCTCTTAGTCTGGTTTTCCCTCCTAACCTCCTTCTGCCCAGGTATAGGCCAGCCAGCTCCTTATTAGCCAATGAGAGGGCTGCATATCCATAGGGTATCAAAAGATTGTTCCACTGCTGTTGCTGGTAGCTTAGGCCAAGAAAGTTTCTTTTTGTGGTGGATAGTGATGATGACAGATTTACAGCCATTCAAATTGCTGATAGTAGGTTACTGTTGCTGTGGCACAGTGGCTCAATGCTCAGCTATACATGTGAAAAATGACCATATCTCCCAAGGCTGGGGGAACACAGTAGAAGAGGAGGCCAAGGAAGGGGTGGAGTTCTGTGTAGCTGCTTCTTCCAGGTGGGAACGTTTTCTCATGGAGGGAGAGGAACCTCAGAGGCTGGAGAGACAAGATTTCCCAGACCCCTTCCTGAGGTGATATAAGCAGTAGATTACTGCCAAGATGGGGGTCGCTTCCCTGATATGGCTGCCTGTAAGTCAAGTAAGGAATTTCAGTCACACTGCTCTCCTGATGTTCCTCCCACGTTGCTGTTAGGCTGTTCAAACACGTAGCTTCTAAAAAGTTCATGCTCCTGTAAATAACCATGAACCCACACTCTCATAAAGAACACCCAGTGAAGTCATTTGTTTACCAAGCGGGACTTGGATAAGCAGCCTTTTTAAAAACATTTATTTATTTATTTATCATCTACTTTGGTTTGGCATTGCCATCTATACCCGGGATGAGCAGAAGTAGCCTCCACCCCCCAGTTACATGTGATGCCCACGCTGGAAGTCATCTGGGGAAAGAACCTGGTGGGGAGAGTGGAACTGGTGCTCAAGTGTGACTATTTTGTTTTGGGATCCTTTATCTTGCCCATGAGAAAAGGAAGGTTGAAGGTTATATCTTTGAGGATGACTAGGAAGGACCTGTTGAACTCCACAGAGGGGCCATCAGGCAGCAAATTCTTGTGCAAATCAGGAAAGTCCAATTCTTCCCACTGTTTATCTTCAACTCCCAGCACAGCCTTATGCATAGCCTACAGAAGGGGCCAGGGACAGAAGTGGATCAGAAACTGTGAAGTCTCCACCCTAGGTGGAAGCAAGATGATGTGGGAGGCTCAGTTAAGGAGAGCCTCCCTGGGGCCTATCTCCTCCTGGTTAGTCTTTCCTTGCCCACAACTCCCTCTCTCCTCATGATCCTTCAGAACTTTTCCTGACTTGGCCTGCTTTTCAATTTACTCCCTTCATGACCTCTCATACCCTTGATGCAGCCTGAAGCCATAGAGGGGAGGGGCCTCTCTACACCCTTTGTCACAAAGCCCCCTTTCTAGTGCACAGTTTTGAGCTTCTGGAGACAAGGACTCTGAAAGTGACCTTCAGAGGGCCCATACTCCCAAAGTATGCAGCTCATGCTCAACCACTCTTGTTTTGGGGTCTACTGATTTTCCCAGAACTGTTGGCCTCCTTGGTTAACTCACTCATAAATTGGACTTTGTGATTCACATTTACAGAAGATTATAGGACATTGTCCAAAGAAACTGAGCCTAAGATTCTTTGCATGAGTATGAGCAAACCAAAGCTCAAACAATAGAAAGTCTGGGTCAAAGGTCACCAGAGAAACACCTCAGGGAGAAGTCGTGGTACCACCTACATGAAAAGTCACCACCTCCAGATCTGACCTTTAACCCCATCCTCTTCCCAGATACCTCCTGAGAGTCCTCAGAGCTCAACCTGGACCCTGCTTATGCTTCCTTTTCCATTCTTAGTCTTACGTCCAAGCTGTGCTCGCTACACCTTTGGACAACTGGAACTACACATTGGTTAGGTGGCCTCACCTTGGACAGCTTCACATGTTCATCCCTTATGGCTTTTGAGAAATCAGCCCTGTTGCTGAAGATCTGGGTGATGCCCAGAGTATTCATGACTTTCTTCAGGTCGTAGGTTGTAGAAATGGTAAATTTGGGGAAAGACAAGTTGGAACTCCTGTCATAGTGGAAGAAAAATATAGGGGTTTCATAGTTTTCTCTATTCTTCTGGGATATGCTATGTTGTAAAGTGTTGTTCCCCCCATTTATGGCCTTGTTTCTGTCCACAGCGGGATGGCAAGGCACCTTGGTGACCTATCCTAGTAACTTCCTTTATACTCGGCATGGAGGTCTGGTGTTGACACGAATGGGACTGTCTCGTGCTAGTAGCCCTCATCTGAGAAGTTCTCCTGACAGACTCAGGATGCTCACACAGAACCATGTCTATCCTCCCTCCCCCTCCATAGCCAGGGGTACTCCTGAGAGTTGGCAGCCCTTTTGCCACTAAGTGACTTCTACTCAGACAAGAAGAGCAGAGTGACCCTATAAGCTGGAGGAGGCCTGGGAACAGAATGTCTTTCAGCTCTGTGCCCAGTTCTTATCTCAACCCCATCTGGTTCTCCACTCTCTACGGGGGTGCAGGGCTTCAGGGCTGTGCGCAGCAGAATGACACCTCTGCCTACACTTGTCTCAAGCCCACAAAACAGACATGGGGTGGCGGGGACTGGGATCACTGATGGAGAACATACTCAGACTTATTGGCTCTTAGGGACCCAATGAACCACACTGAAGAGTGTCAAAAGATGGAGCCTCCTGAAAATGTGCCCCCATGCCTACCTTTAACCTTCCCGCCCTAGGCCTACTTAGCCAAGCTCTGCCCGTGTCCACTGTGGAAGTCATGGCACCCAGGTGAACTCCTCTGAGAGAAGTGCCTTTTCAAGGAAAGCCCAAGGCACAAGCATGTCATGCTTTGAGGCATGTATCAATTCTTTTTAGCAGCCTATATAATTTCTATTAAGACTGCAGCAATTCAGATAAGTGCTCTGGATAGAAAGCTTGCCCGGCAACAATATCTATACCAATTCCTGCCTTAGGGCTCCATGGCCAAACAACTGTGTGTATTCAAGAATATTACAGAAATTTCTTCCCCTTTCTCTTTAAAGCCTTTCCTCTTTGAGTGTGATGGTGGTAGTTCTTCACTGCTTCTAGAACAGTTATTCTATGGACATTCTCAGACTGGCATCCTTTGTGCATACTCTGTCCTGGGAATTGGACCAACTAGGGCCTTTGTCTCAAAGCCCATCTTCTTGTTCTTGGTTCTGTCATAGCATATGGCTCCAGTGACTGTCACAAACCCCAGCAGCACACATTTGGAAGGCACAGTGTGCACAATGGGAAGGCAACTTCCAAGACCAGGACCTTATAGCTCACAGCCAGCTTTGTGAGAACTGGTCATCCTGCTTTCAAGAGATTCCAGGTTGTGACTCATAATGGTGAGTCAGGGATTGGGTCCACCTATCCTAGCTGGTGGCCAGTCCTGAGGGATGGCCTCAGGCAGGTCACAGCTTGGAGAAGAGGGCAGTTCTGAATGGGCCCACAGAGGGGAGAATCACCTTGTTTTAATGCGTTTGTGGATGCTGTTGAGACACTCATGACTCAGGTTTTGTATCAGTTCCTCCATCTTTCCTACATCTGGCAAGATGAAGAAGGCCATGATATTCCCTACATAGGGCTGCATCAGCACCCAGCTGGACAGAGTATTATCCTTGAGCAGGTAAAATTTGCCCTGGCGTTTGACCATGGGCACTGTAACCACCTTGCCTGTATCTAGTTGGAACTCTAATTTGTCCAAACGCTCAGCTTCAAATTCACCAATCTGGACTCCTGGGGAGAGAGAAGAGGCTATCAGGGAGAGGTAGGATAAAAATTTAGGTGTCAGAGTAAGGAATTCCCTGCCCCCTCCATGTGACACTTCCCTCTTAGTCATAGCTTCATTAAGTATAAATGGGATGAGTGTGGCCACAGAAGTCCACCGAAGGGACTTTGTGATGATCACTTGAAGCTGTGGAAGATGTAGAATACTTTTTTATCAGGCTACTTAATGGAAATTTTGCAATTTCCTCCTTCTATCTGTCCCTTTTTCTTTTGGATATTAAATATATTGGACAGTTTCATGAGGATTTGTTGTTTGTGGTAGAAATTGGACTTATGACTTCCCATATACTCATGCCCCTCTCCATCACTGAGGTACAACTCTGCCTGTGCCTAGAGATTCTCACTGAAAATAGGATTCTCACTTGACCTCCTGAGTCAAGGTTCCCTGCTGGAAGACCCCTGCACATCACAGACAACCATTCAGTTAGTATTCAGGGGAAACCTCACGTGTACAGATGCCAGGACAGGGTCTCCTCTGCTGTATGAGAGCCACCACTGAGACCACCAGAGAAGGTAGACTCTCAAGCACTGAGGTCATTGGAAAGAAGCAGGTGACAGGGCTGAGGTGTGGACAAGGTTCACAGCAGAGCTAGGATCTTTGTTGTACTGGATGTGGCCTGAGGGCTCTGTTCTGCGGGGCTCTGCCCAGGACCAAGGAAGCTGCGGTGGAGAGAAGTTTTGTCTTTGATTTCCAGCCCCTACTGTATGTAGGGGGATCCCCTTCCCAGACAGGATGGGAGACTGAGGGGTGAGGGTCAGGTTAGTTGCCCTGGTAACTATTAGTTTCTTTTGTCACCAGAAAGGAACAGTTAGCTTTCCTTATGAAGGTGGGATAGTCATATCCTAAACAGTAAAATAGCTTTCTTTGTTTTGTTTTTCTTCTCTTTTGGATATCATAGTTATTAGGTGGTTGTGTAGCGGGGGCCTCTAAGCTGGATGATGTGAATTTGATCCCCCAGAACACAGATGATAGGAAAGAACTGACTCCCATAGGTTGTGTGTGATGTGACCTCCACATATGTTCTATGTCATGTGTAGACATGCACTTACACACAGCCATAAGTAAGTAAATGTAAAAAAAAACCCCACCACTTCTTGATTCAAGCTGGTAATATCTATGCTCCCAAGGCATGGCCATAGAATGCATTATATGACTCAGTTATCATAAAAGATGGGGCTAGTCAAAATGATGTCCGTGACACACGCCACACTTATCATCATCGCTGATCCCATAATGAGCAGCACCCCAACAGTCCCAGGGTGATTACCATTCATGAGCCCAACCAGGCTGCTCCCTAGCTTGTCTGCTTTGTCAAATACTGCCTCTTCTAAATAAAACTCTCACCTGCTCACTGTCTCACCGTCTATACATTCTTTTATTGTTGAGAACAAGAACTTGAACCCTAGAGTTCTGACCTCCGTGGTTGCCCTCCCCAGGGCCAGTTCCACCTTACCATCGAAGGAGATGAAGTTCACCAGGGCAAGAACTGTGTCAATGGGCAGGTCCCCAACCACCTTTAGTACATGCCCATAGCTTCCTTTCATCACGTGCTTGTTGATCTGCGTCTTGGCTGCTTGAATGTCTTTGAAGTTGATGGGGATGGTTTCTGAGTTGTACAGCTCCATAGCTGCCTTTTTGAACTTGCTCTCCACCTTCAGATTCTTATGAACGAACAGGCTGCTACCTATGGTCATGTGGAGCTGGTGGTTTGGCTGGAGGAATGTGTGGATGAGATGCTGGAAGCATTTGTGGATCTTCGTTTCAGGCATCTTCATGAGATCGAACCCCATCCCATTTAGGATTTGTTTGTGAGTATTTCCCTTAGTTCCCAGGGAGAGCATTGCGAAGGCAGCTATAATGCTCACTGGGGAAAACACCAAGTTGGTGTGTTCTGGCCAATGGATTGCCTTTTGGAGCAAGAACAAAGATATATTGGTGATGGTAGGGGCAAAATTCTGGCATTGGGTGCTTTCTCGCTTCTTGTTGAGGTCTGAGGCACCTGTATTCTGGGGTCCAGGGAGCAGACAACACAGGCCTGCTAGCAAGAGGAAGTTGTGAGAGAAAAAGTGTGGCATTGTCCTGTAAGACAGAAAAGAGGACAAAGGTCCAAATCAATGAGTCTCACTCACCAACCCAACCACTGACACTGTGTAAAGGCAACTAGTTTCCAAAAGCTGTGCACCCAGCAGAGGGCCAGGAATGTTCTACATCCTCATCATGGAAGGAACCAGAGGAAGCCGTCACAGTCATAAGGGCTCAGATACATTCATTCATTACTTTGGTTTTCTTTGAAAGTGTGTGTGTGTGTGTGTGTGTGTGTGTGTGTGTGTGTGTGTGTGTGTGTGTACATGTGTGCACCACAGCAAGTGTATGAAGGTCAGAGGCCAACTTGTGGGAGTCTAGGTCTTGTTCAGGCTCCCCAGATGGCACAAACTTCTACCATGGCTCTCCTCTCCCAGCTACTGCGACCTTCACATTGTAGGCCATTTGAGCATGAGTTGGTTTTTTTGGCCCGAATCCCGTCATATTCTGAGCCGGGGAATTGCTGTTGATCACAAGCCTATGAGCGGTGGGCGCATTTGTGACCACTCCCCATGGATTCCGGGCATCTGGTCCTGCCTATTTGATAGGGCAGGAAAAGGAAGGCTCAAAGAGGCTCAGCAGCTTCTTCAAGGTGACTCAGTCAGGAAAGCTGAACTGCATCAGGCTGGTCTCCAGCTTCTGGCATGTATCCCATGTGATGCTGAGGCAGTTGTCATGGCACTGCCTCCATTGAGCATCGGGCATAGGCTCAGGGCTAGGCACAGGGGATAGAAGGAGTTCGAGGGGTCAATTAATGCGCAGTATGACACCCCACCCCCACCCCAGCAGCTCAGAGGTCCGTCTTGGCCACCTGCAGTGAGTTAAGGAGAATCTAGACACTAGAGAAGCATGGTTGTGGGGCATACGAAGAGACGAAAACAAACTTGGGTTCCATTTTGTGACTTCTCTAAATCTCATTTAAACAGGATAGTTGGGGGGAAGGGGAAGAATTACAGGAGACATCAAACTTCGACCAAGCTATGAATGGCCTCAGAGCAGTTCGTGAGGGAGAAAGGGAGTGGATTTTGCAAACTCTGGCCTTCAACACCAGCTGGGGGCCGAGAGCAGGGATGGAATTTGGGGTTATGAACCCAGATAAGAATGGGGAGGAGGAGGGAGCAGAGAGGCACACAGGTTATCTGGAGAGTTAATGAACATCTCTTCCTTGGGGACAGGGAGTTCCCGAGAGGAGATCAGGGCAGATGGCCCCTGGGAAGGAGGTGGAGCCCAAAGAGCAGAGGGCAAGGACCTCAGACTGAGTTCTGGAATTTAGATTAGAAAGAGCTGATAGGGGTCCCATTCTCTTCTACAGTAGTTGAGCTTCATTGAACCCCAAAGTCACACAGTAGGTCTGCAGCAAGGCCTGGCTTCTAAAAGCATGAGAGAAGTGCAGGGTAGGAGAGTGGGGTTCCCTGAAATGGATCATCAAAAGTCAGTATCCAGAGGAAGGCAGGAGGCTTAGGGCTAGCCCAGGCCTGGGCGTCACTTTAACAGTGAGCAGACTACCAGCTCAGTCCTACCCAGTGCCCAGCAGTGTCCCTGTGATGTGCTCGGCGTGCAGAAAGCAGCCACTCTTGTATCCTGCCTCTGTCGGAAGGAACTGTAGCTGGTGCCTGTTTCCCCTTTATGCAGACTGTGCCAACCCAGCTGGGCAGACTGATTGATAGGGCCCAGGAGTGACTTACTGAGCAGAGTCGTCTGGGGCCAGTGGGAGGCTTGTGGACTAGATGTACAGCACAGGCTGTCCCTCATACTCTTACCCTGGGGCTTTATAGGGTGACAGAGGGTGTGAGATACTTGGTCCCTGTGTGCTGAAGGAGGGCCTGAGGCATTATGTGGGTCTGGTCAGGTGATGGTGTGACCTGAGGGTCTGGCTGATCTTTCCTGAACTGATTTAGTCTAGGGTAACCAGCCAGAGCTGGAATGGGGAAGGTGAGGGAGCCCTGTGACCTACTGAAGGCAGCCACGGGCCCTCCAGGGCTGTCCCCTGGACACAACAGCAATGGCCTCTGTGAAGCTTACGGCTTCTTCTTTCTCTTTCCTACTCATCATCCTTACAATCTCCCCTCGTGCTGAGGCTGGGCCCAGGACCAACCTGGGGCCTTGTCTTTCTCCATATCACCTACTTCTCTTTGGCTCTCTGTGTCTCACACCCCCCCTCTCTGGAAGGTTGCGCCCCTGGTAGACTCTTGGTCCCAAGATTGCAGTGTTAATGACGCGGAATAGGGTGCTTGCTGGTGTGATCGGGATAAGATAGAGTGTTTACACAGGGAGTGTCTTTGGACTTGGCCTCCAAATGTAATCGCAAAGACCCTCACATCTAGAGACAGAAGAAGCTGGGACATGACCATTCTTTAGAGGGTGTGACCAGCCCAAGGGGACACCTGAAAACGGAGCCGTTGTCACTGTCTTCATGGAGACACTACATAAAGCTACTGATAGATCCTCAAGCGAGGACCCCGCGGAACAAGACCCCAAGTCCCAGAGCTGCTGAGGCACCTGTATCAGGCCACACAGTCTACTCTCTCACGTTGTAGCCTACAGGATATTTCTTTACTGGTGCTTTCATGAAGGGGCTTGCCTCAGGGAGAGCATATTCCCCTAATTCCTATTCCAGGAGCCATCGCATGGCCTCCAAGATGTGGCTCTGGTTCAGGCTGGCACTGAGCTCAGAGGGGGCTGTGTGCTGTCTACTGCACCCTGGAGACCTTTCGAGGACCTAAGAACCCTTGTTCAGCTTTCAGGGTGTGCTGGGGCGCTGGAGATAAGGTGGCTGTTGTTGGCTGTTTGTTGGGGCTCTAGAAGGGGTTGGAACCCCATGCTGACCCTGTGGCCTGCTTTGACTGCTCCCCACCACCATGGAGCAGCACGCCTCTGGGTAGCACCTGGGCCCCAGTCTTGTCATGAGAATAGAACCAGTGTCAATGTGTTTGCTGTTAGCTAGAGGTCCATGCTTGGGAATGCAGAGAGTGTTTTAGCAGGCTTCTGGGAGGGGATTTGATGTGTGAGCTGCACCTCCCATTTCTGACTGAGTTTCCATCTAGGAGCCCAGAAATACTTGCCTCTGTCCCTACTTCACAGTGTGTCTCGGTGGGGCTCACGCTGGCAGCCCAGCTCCGGGTGATCGGTCTTACCTCCGGTCCCGTGTTGTTTCCCGAGCACAGGGTGAGGCTACACAGGGCATGGCTATGCTGCCCCTCACTGAGCTCAGAGTTTCCTTTGTGTGCTCACTTTCATTTCTCTATTCCAGAGCAGAGCAGACCGGACCTTTCCTGTAGGGGACCCTCACTTGGAGCACCCAACACCCCAGCAGTGTTGCAGGTATTTTGTATCAGGTTGGAGCGGTTGAGGTTGTGTGCCCCTACGTACAATGATGGAACATGTGGCCAGACATAGGCCCACTATGAAAAGAGCCGCCCAAAGCTGCCCTGGAGGTCATTTAATCACGTTAAACCGGCAAAGCGCTCCATGGCCTGAGTGATGATGATTTTACTGACATGCAGAATGCAGGCGTTAAGATCACAGGCTTCTACCCCGATTCCAGAGAGAAACCTTGGAAGCTGATTTTATGCTAAAAAGACAGAGTCCTTGGTGGGGCAGCGCATGGCAGTGCTGCGTGATCAAAGTGCCCTGGAAACTAGGAAGGTCATTTCTTGGTTTCCTAGGCTCTGGCACAGCAGCTGCCCACCACTGGAAGCTGTAGGCTGCATGCAAAACTAGCCCCAGAGAGAAAATGTGTGGACTTCAAAGAGCAAAGTCACAGGGGCAGGATGGCCCAGGCCCTTGGGCTACATCCCACCCAGTGTGACCCAGATGCCAGACTCCATAAGACTCAGCGCTTGTTCTGCTGGGTTCAGTTTTGCTTTGAACTGATTCTCACTTCCTGTCTACTAATCACATTAGAACGGGGACTGTCGACCCCGTGACTGCTCCACCATTGTAGCCTGGAAGCATACTACTTATTTCAGCCTTTTACAGGAGATCAGCTCTGTTTGCCTCAAATCTCAGATGCGACAACGGGCTTAGGTTTTGAGCAATACTGTGACAGTTAAGGCTTGGTGGTAGAATAAATCCATTTTGGTTTTGTGAGACACAGAGACCTATAGTGACTAGGAGCAGAGTCCTCAGTGTGGGTGTTGACTGTCCCCCAAAGGTACCTATGGTTAAGTTCCACTGCCTATAGTGGGGCTCAATGAGAGGCCTTTAAGTCATTGGGCAAGGTCACCGAGGGGATTGTGGGACACCAGTCTCTTTGGTTTTGGATATCTCTGTCTGTCCCCACATGTGTTCCCACTTTGATGTGCAGACTTCAGCAGGGGCTAAACAGACAAGGCTGCCTGATCTTGGATGCAAATCACCGAAACTGTGAGCAAACTAAATCCCATCACTCTATAAATTTAGCTGCTTCAGGTACTGTACTGTAGTCACACGAAGCAGAATGCAGGCACCTTTTGCTTCTCTTTCATCTGCAGATGGATACTGACTGGACCCAGGCTTATACATTCCTTATCAAGACCCTCTGGGTGCGGTCAGGTACATGGCTGGGTAAACACTCTAAGGATGGTTAAACTTACCAAATTGTGTTTGAGCATGAAGGAATTTCCATGACTAGGCATCACTGAGACCTGAAGATTAAGACCACTCCTTCCGTGAGTGGGCAGAAGAAATGACAGTATGTTAGCTGTCCCTGATTGGATATAAGTTGGCAGACCTGTGCCTGTGCCTGGTTAAGATTCAGCTGCTGTATCAGTACCCATCCCAAGTATACACACGGTCTCTGGACTCCCATAGAACAATGTGAGGTGCACTCTCACCCTGAACTCTTGGGGAAGGGTCTAGGCCCTGCCCTATATGAAATGACAGACTATGGACACCCCCATGGAGGGCCTCACCCTCCCTGGGGGAATGAGGGGATAACGGGGGGGATGGGGGAGGGCACGGGAGGAGGGGAGGGAAAGGGAGAGGGACCTCGTACTGACTTGTGAAGCAACCTTGTTTCTTATCTAAATTTAAAATGGAAAATAAAAAAAAAAAAGAACTGAATCCTTACTTTGGGTGCCCATTCCACAATGAGGGATGTTCTCTCTCAGCCTGGACTCTTGGGGAAGGGCCTAGGCCCTGTGCTGAATGAAATGACAGACTCTGGTGATCCCCCATGGAGGGCCTCACTCTCCCTGAGGAATGGAGTGAGTATTGGATGGGGGACTGGGAGGTCCTAGGGAGCCTGGTGGGGGGGGGATGGAGAGGGAGCTGGGATTGACATGTGAAGCAAGCTTATTTCTAATTTAAATAAAATAAAAAAAAAAGATTCAGCTGCTGTGATGGGTAGAGGCTCAGTTACAACGTTATGGGGGTCTTGCATGGATTAGGCTGCAGTTTATTTGTGTATTGACCCACGTTGTAGTTTTTTTGGCAGAAAGGTCAGTTTGAACCACACTTGTCACCAAGGCCAGAGTGAGTTCTTTTGAGCATTTCTGCCTTCTGATTTCCCAACAAAAGGACCAATAACACCATGATGGGTCACCACTGTGGTCCTGGGCTGGGCCACCAATTTCTGCAGCCATCACTAGATTTTGCTGGGTTTGGGGACAGTGCTCACAACTTCATGGTGCCGAATTACCTAGATAATACTTTCATTTTATGTTTTTGCTGTTCCCATGACATTAAGACCATTTGATACACAAACAACAATGGTGGAATGTGGGCTGTAAACTTACTAAAATTAATATTAACATATGTGGTATGCGTGTACCCATGGATCACAGCATGGGGGTTGGCTCTCAGAAGACAACTTTGTGGAATGGGTCTTGCTTACCTTTTTACGGATTCCAGGAATAGAACCCAGGTCATCAGGGTTGGCTTTTACGAGCTGAGCTGTGTCCCCCGCCAGGGTAGATCACAAACTTTTGAGTGAGCGCAGCGTTCTGCCATCAAGACTGAAAACACCATGGAAGCAGCATGATTTTTCTGTACGGTGGGGGAGAAGAAATACCACTGAGGACAGAAGACCTCAGGCTGACTGCACGTGCCCCTGCCTCTGAGCAATTTGTTGCATGTGTCTCACGCCCACAAAATGGAAGCATTAGTCAACCCAGGGTGTTTCAGTGGGGACACAGCAGCAGTATTCACTCATTCAGTATCATGTGCAACCCACAACTGGGACCAAGTGGAGACCCCTCCCCCAAACAGTGAAGTGCTGTGTGGGGTACAGATGTTCTACTACAGTTGTCACAGGGTGATCTACTACAGTTGTCACAGGGTGATCTACTACAGTTGTCACAGAGTGATCTGCATCTGTCTGATTGGCTACAAATTCCAACATTTTTCTCATTTCTCCCTCCTTCCTTCCTTCCTTCCTTCCTTCCTTCCTTCCTTCCTTCCTTCCTTCCTTTCTTCCCTTCTTTTTGAGGCAATCTCATGTAAACCAGCTGGACTCCAACCCACTGTGTAACTGAGGATAACCTTGAACTCCTAATGCTCCAGTCTCTATCTTTCAAGTGCTACAATTGCCGGCATGTGTGCCATGCTCACCTGTCCAAGCTGTCTTTAAATTCTATATTCCCACACTCTGTTACCATGGTCAGTTAGTCCTCAAGAGCCTCGGTGGGACC